ATTTTAACCTTCACAATTTCTACAACCTCGAAGATCATGCCAGAGACCAAGTGACAAGTTTCCTAAGACATGTTCCCAGCCATGTGTCTCTCTCTTATCTTATACACAGTAGATATTCAGTCTGCCCAGGAGGAGGTATATGGTTCTGACTTTTTCCCAGAACTGTGAAACTGTTGATTCTGAATGGATTGGGACACGGGCACTGGGTTCCAGTCCTGCTCAGAGAACATTATCACAGCTGAGTGATACCAAAAGGATTATTGTTTAACACATATAAACAGGAGAAATACGTTTTGCCATTAGAGGCTGAATTTGCACCCAGAGCCTAAAATTTACTAGGATAATATTTGACACCATTTAATTCTCTGTTACTGGAAAGCCACACAATGAGATAAAACAAAACACAAATGGTTCACACTGCTTGCTTGTTTCAAGATTTATGTATAGGAAGTACTGCAATAAATTTACTCATGACTGGTGCAAGGTAGCATTTGCTTTACAAAGAATGACTCCTACAGCTCTGATATCTTTAGATAAGTCACAGAAATGGGCAGATTGCTGGCATGCAAGATACTGGAATTTCTTTTGTTATCTAGAAAAGCATTTGAGCAAATCTTAAGTCCACTTCCAACATAAATGACATTAATGTATGTGTTGCTCAGTTTTTGCCAAACTGACACATGCTGGTGTCATCAGGGAAGAAAGACTCTCAATTACGAAAACGCTTTGATAAGACTGGCTGGTGGGCAAGTCTGATGGGATATTTTCTTGATTAGTTATTGACATGGGAGATCTCAATACACTGGGCAAGTGATCTTGGGTGGTTATATGTACATACATGCATGCATAAATACATACAAGCAAGCTGAGCACGCTGTGGGGATCAAGTCAGTAAGCCACACTCCTCCATAGAATCTACTTAAGTTGTGGCCTCCAGTTCTTCCCTCGAGCTCTTGTCCTGAGTTTCCCCAGTGATGAAATGTGACTTAGAAGTGTGAAATTAAATAAACCCTTTTCTCCCCATGCTCCTTTGGTTAATATTTTATCAGGCCAACAGTAAGTAAACAAGGACAATGCATGAATCCATAGGATGACTGTTACTGAGATTACTGTAAAAACTGCCATTTAATCAGGCAAAACAAACACATATGAAAACATTCACAGAATTAACCAGATCTGAGATGTTCTTCACCTCAATCAAATGCATACACTACTGAGCAGCTACAGAGGCAATTAAGACTGGTGACCAAGACAGGAGTAGCCCTAACACAGTCTAGAGGAGAAGGAGACACAGGAACACAATGCAATGAGGCAAGGATGTTTTCAGGGAAGCAAGATATGTCTTTCAGTGTTACATTCTTCATACATATTAACTCCCTGAAAGATTTTTAAATTGATATTTTAGATTCAGCATAATGACTATCCTAAGACAAGACACATTACTTTGTATACAGTTAGGATGTTTACCCCAGAGAGATAATGCATTCCAGGGGAAATGGGCTGTGAGGAGAGAATTAAAGAATAAATAAGGATTTAGCCAGCCTGAAGATTAATGTGAAGTAATGAGACATAGACTTGAGGCAAACCTCAAATTTGTTTAGGCTAAACCAAGGAACACTTATAATAAAAAACATAGAAGGCAAGGCATTCCACCAAAGCAGAGTTTTATTTGAGACATGGTCTTGCTCAAAATTTTAAAATCAAATATTTTGAAGTCACTACCTTTTGGATAACCTAGAAATATGTTTCATAAAATCCATTTTAAAGGGTATACACAAGAGTAAAATTTTATTATGGATATTTTTATACTGCTATCAGTCAAACAATGTTACTTTGCCTCTCGAAAACAGTCAGCCCCAGAAGAATCTGCTCTTTGATGCCGAATGAAGGAACTCATGAACAACCACGTAAGAATCACTGTTGTTTTCCTTCTCCACTGAAATATCTAGAGATGAAAGGAGAAAATAGGAATGCGGTGTTTTTTAGAAACATTCCTCTAAAAGGTCATTACTAATTCTTAATGTAATATTTGGTCCACCTTTCATCTTGGTGTACTTTGGGTCCCTTTACCTCACAGGTGCATAGAAGAGTAACATGGGCATCTAGAAAGGGTGTTGGGAATGGCCAACCACCTTGATGCTGACATGCCTATCAAGGAACGCAAACTGTGGCTTTTATTCCCCAGACTCTGAAGGTGAGCTCACTTTGTGAAATCATGCAGAATTCAAAGAACTAATATAAGGAAATAGATATTAAGGATGGACAAATATTTTTAATGGTTCCATATGTTTATTGTCTCTCTTAACCGACTACAAGGTGTGTGGAGGAGCTGAGCTGAGTCATTACCAAGACTAGTGCCCTGAGCTCTGCCTGGAATTTGTTATGTAAAATGTCTTCAAAAGGCTTAATGAATGAAGAAATGAATGAATGATTAAGCTGCAGGAAACTGAGTTGTAATCCAACATACACAAGCAGATGCATATGTAAGAAATTCATGTTAAAATGCTTGTATTGAACATCTTTTTGAAAAAGAATTAAGTAACTTAAGGGACTAAAAGCATTCTGTCTTATAAAGCAGTAAATCAAAAGTTTGTTCCTGGGCTTTTAAAAAGTCACTGGGGCTGAAGGCAAAGTTAAAACAGAAGGACCAAGGATCAGTGTAAGAAAATGATGATGATGAATGAATCTAAGCTGATTCAAGACTGCTAAGATGAACATGTGAGCCAAGCAGACAGCCTCTTCGTCTCTTTGGTTTTTGTTTTGTGGTGGGAACATCTGGATGATTTTATTACACTCACAGTATAAAGGGAAAAAAATCAACATTGCACATATGCCCTTGGCAATCATAAGTCAGTCCTTTAACACCCACTTCTGGCCCTAAAGAAAAGCAAAGGAAGGCAATCATGATGCTATGGTGACCAAGGGATCTTTAAAACCTGACCCAAAATGAGTTTCATAATCACCTTACTCCATGCCATAAGTGGCAATGTGCACAATGGATTTTCAGATTTCTCAATGGTATTTAGAACTTTCAAAATCATGTAAATTTTTCATCACTTCCCTCTGATTGTGGCATATTAAGATTGTTTTAGTTTACTTTAGACATTAGACCCTTGATTCTTAAACATTAGGACCCCAAGACTCAAGTCAGCTGCTCCCATATCTCTCTGTGTGTTAGTCTCAGGTGCTGTGATAAGCAGACAAGAGTCAAAACTCAAGGAAGCAAGTTCAGGTATCCTAAACCTGGACTGTTTAGTAAATAGCAATAGAAAAGCATCAGGTCTTACACAGAACAAACAATTCCCAGAATAACAGCAACAGGACATTTTCAAATGGAGTCAACTCAGGGCTAGAGAGACTTCTCAGCAATTAATAGCACTGGATCCTTTGTAGAATGCTTGGTTCTCAGAACACACATGACACATGGAGGCTCATAACCATCTGTAACTCCAGTACTGGGGGAATCTGACACACCCTTCTGGCCTCTGCAGGCACCACATGCACACAGTGCATATACATTCAGGCAAACAGACAAAAAATAAAAATAAATCTTAAAAATAAAAATAAAATCTTAAAAAATAAAATTGAATGGTCTCTTGTCCTTGACCCATCATTTCCATATTATGTAGTTTTCTACATCTTGTTTAGGAATAGGTAATTATTTTTCTTTAAAGGGTGAAAAAGAACTGATATTCTATGGAGATTAAAACATTCTGGAGAACTGTTAAGTAAACAGAAAGTGTGACTGATACAGATATGAATGGTATAGGTACAGATATAAGTAGTCTAGGTAGAAATGTGGGTGACCTAGGTACAGATGTGAGTGGTCCAGGTATAGATGTAAGTCATCTAGGTAGAAATGTGAGCAGTCTAATCATAGATGTTATCTAGGGACAGATGTGAGTGATCTAGGTAAAGATGTGGGTGGCCTAGGTGTAGATGTGAGTAGTCTACATACAGATGTGAGTGGTCTACACACAAATGTGAGTGGTCCAGGTATAGATGTGAGTGGTCTACTTACAGATTGAGTGGTCTAGGTAGAAATATGAGTGGCCTAGGTAAAGATGTGAGTGGTAAGGTGTAAGTATAGATGTGAGTGGTCTACATACAGATATGAGTGGTCTATGTAGAAATGTGAGTGGCCTAGGTACAGATGTGAGTGGTGAGGTGTAGGTATAGATGTGAGTGGTCCAGGTATAGATGATGAGAGTGGTCTAGGTTCAGATGTGAGTGGTCTAAGTATAAATAGCAGTGATTTAAGTGCAAGTGTGAGTGGTCTAGGTACAGTCCAGTGGCCTAGCTATAGATGTGAGTGGTTTAGATTTTTGACATTGAAAACATCAAAATCTCCCAAAATTCCACTAGAAAGTTATTCTTCACAATTCTTTAGCCTCCTACTCCTGAGAGATCAAGAAGTAAGCAAACATGAGAATGTTCCAATATATTCATTTACTGTTGAACAAGAGACTCTTCTTGTATTGGTTCCTAATAATACACTGAAGTATAATAGTTTATAATCATACCTAATTATAAACACTGGTACTCATCCATATATGTTATTCCTCCTATGAAACTGTAAGGAAAATATTTCAAAAATATGCAATATATGAGCAGTATAAAATCAATTTTATTAAGTAAATGAGGAAACTCAACAAGCTCTGTGAGTGACCATCAAGAGTCTAGAATCTAGACTGACAAGAGTTATATATAAGAGAGCCATAATTCTCCCCCTGGCCTGGGGGAATCCAACATTTGTTAGCTTTCCATCTTATTCCAAGTGAGTATACGGGCTTTCACACAGATGCCAGAGGCAACTTCCAATTATTGAACCACTTACCATATTCTCCAATGTGGAGATAATTATGAATCTGGCCAACGTGAAATGCCACCTACTTTTAACAGGATTAAAACACTGTTAAATGTCACACTACTTCAGAGTAGCACTGGCTTGTCAGAGTGTGATTCTATCTCATTGATGGATCGTGCCTGGCAACACTCACCTCTTTTTGACGGTACTTAATGGCTAATTTTAGCCTCGCAAGATCATTTCCACTCTGTTCTTCGATCAGACTATTGTCATCGCGGTAATTAAGAATGATTTCTAGCTCTCTGGAACTCCGTGTCTGATCTAGGAGGTCCTTAGCAAATTGTTTGCATTGTCTAGACAGCTCCTCATATTCTGACTTGAATTCATTCTCCACCTTGCTCAGTTCCTGCAGCTCCCAGCTTAGCTGAAAGGCAGTAAGGAAAGGATCTTCACTTGATAGGGCAATGAGTGAGGGACTGGCCAATGCCTTGTAGATGTTGAGCCTGGACCGTGAGTGCCTGAGGCTGTCCACGTCTGAGCTGGAGACACACTCAACACAGTTACAGCGAACCTCATGGGGTCTGGGCACCGAGACACCTTTCTGAACCAAAAGTTTGATTATCTCATAATTATTTGTATGTGCAGCCAAGATGATAGGTGTAATGTCTGGAGTGAATTCAGAGAACTGCTTATCCAGGAGAATGGGAGGCACCTGCAAAGAGAACAAAGCAGAGGTATGGGTTCATGTTCATTTCCTGAAGCTTCTGAATTTCAAACAGTACAGGACACTTGTGCTGAGCAAGAATCATAAATCATTTGTCATGTTTCCTTGTAGGACAAACTTTTATCCTCCCAAAATAAAAATATCCAAGAAAAAAATTAACTCCAATATAGTAAAATATCTTCCCTACAAAACAGTGGCTTTTTTTTCTGAAATATTAAAATGGGTGTCATGGAAACTATTTACTAGATGGAAAGCCTTCCTTACTCTATATTTATTTCACAACAGATCAGATAATCTTTGCTTTTCCACAGACACTAGCTTGATATTCAAGAAAACAACAACAAAAAAGAGTTGATTTAAAATCAAGATGATGGGGCTAAAGATGGCTCAATGGTTAAGAGCATTTGCTGATCTTCCAGAGGAGTGGGTCCAGTTCCCAGCATCTACATAGTGGCCCACAACAATCTGTAACTCCATGTCAAGAGGATCCAATGTCTTTCTCTGGCCTCTGTGAATATAAAACACACATGGTGCACATACATACCTGCAGATGAACACTCATGCAGAGTCTGAATATTTCCCTTAGTCTTACTGTAAAGATAATGATTTTTCTTATCTAAGTAGTATCCAGGCCCAACCCTGGTTAGCTTCTGAGATTAGATGAGATCTGGAGCATTCAGAATAGTGTGGCCATAGAAGAGATGATGATTTTTCTAACTGAGTTGTTTTAACATCACACAGGCCTGGAGTTAATCTGCACACACAGACTCCATTCCCTCTGAGGCCAACTGCCATTCCCAGAAGTCATCCATGTTCTTCATGATGAAGCCACTTGGCTCCAACCTGAGGCACACAGAACTTTCCAAATCTATACTGTAATATGTGACACTTTACCCAGATTTAGAAATATATGTCATTAGAATATGTATTTTTGTCGGCTAATAATATAATAGACAAATTTAAGAGTGAAATTCATCAAAATGTGACATCTACCCAATCTGTCTCTGTCTCTTTCTATGCAAAATTTTTTAGAATATGTCATATTTACCAAAAAATGTCCATATTCTTTGTTTGCTTGTTTTCAAGATAAGATCTCACTATATGGCTCTGGCTGTCCTGTAACTCAGATATAAACTAGGCTGGCCTTAAACTCAAGGAGATCCACCCTGCCTCTGCCTTTGAGATTAAAGGGCATGTGCCACCACACCCAGCTAATATCCATATTCTAATATGAATGCTTTTTCTTAACTGGACAAATAACATGTAAACAGATTTCTAACTCTGTTTCATGTAGAATAGTTTGCCTCATAATATGAAGTTTCTATGATTTAAGAATCTTCTTCATTTTCTAGCAAACAGAACAAGGATAGGAGCTTTATAAAACAGGCACTTTTTTCTAAATTGTTTAATCGAAACTGATTGGGCTCTGCAATTTCATTTTGTTCTCAGGTATAATCTTACAATGTAATATATTACCATATTTAAAAAAATACTCAGAATAGAAATACTCTTTCTCCCTCATGCATGCAGATTTCTTTGACTTTCTAATTCATATCAATTTAAAGTTAATATTAAAATGCAATTAATACATGTTATTTAGAATTTGAAATTTCATACACCCACCCAATTGTACACAGGCATGTTTCTTCATCATGAGTTACTTAGACAAAAAGAAGTGGCATTTATATGAATGAATCAATTAATGAACAGATGGGTGAATGGATAGATGGACAGTCAGATGGGAGATGGATCTCTTAGGTTACAATCTGACTCAAATTTAAATGTGTCATTACAGGACTAACCTACTGCTCCAAAAGAATAAATGATATGCAGTTGTCGATATGCAGCAGTGGAACTCTGATTTCAGCATGCCCACAGTCAGTCCATGCAGCAAAGCCTTCTGAGTAGCTACAACTTTGAAATCACCACCAGCTTGACCTGACATATGATGAAACCTTGATCTAGGAATGGTTATGAAAGGCAGCTGAGTGCGGACTGACCACCTTTTGCATGTTTACAGCTCTAAATGCAGAGCTCTGTCATTTGTGTGGCATAAACTCACAAAAATCTGAGGCTGCCTATAGAACCTAATGTAGAAAGAACACTATTCCAAATAAGGAATGTTACTGTGTTGGGAAAAATATTTAAATATATTTACAACATGTAATACGTACATGCATACATATGTCCATAAACTTCTATACTAATATCTTCAGTGGATATATGAGAGGTAATTAAACTGCCTGTGAATTAGTGATCAGCACATCAAAGGCATGATTTAATAATAGTGCCATCAAATTGATTTTTTGACCGATTTTCATAATTTAAAGGAAGTACATATGTCATGTAAAAGCTAGAAAAATTAAAATATCATATATCTCTTCCTAGTTCATATGTGTGTATGTTTTTAAATCTATCATATCTTAAGTTGAACAATTTACACAGAGGCTGCACTCTGGGTTTAAAAATAGCACATGAAATTGGGAGATGCAAGTGGTTGGGGTAGGAGGAGTCATAGAAGAGAAAATAGCTGGGGATTTAGGAGAACACGTTCTACACATGTATGAAATTCCCAAACAATAAAAAGTGCCTTAAGTCCCATTGAATTGAAATCAGAAGACTCAATGGAAGGCTTTTATTTCAAAGCATAGATCACAGGGTTCTCATTTAGAGAAGAAATTGAAAAATTAGACTCTCAGCAAAGGAAAAAAATCACATTTAATTTTTGAAACAATGCAGTTATTTTTGCTGAAGGCAAGAATGCTCTAGCCTTATGACTGTCAGAGATTATCGAGTGGAGAAAGTAGACCATAGCATATATACCAGTTTTCTTCATAAAGGGAAATATCTGGCAAAATGTCTCATGTAAGTAAAAGACTTTTAAGGAGAAATCCAAAGTTAAAAGAAGCATAAATGACAAGGAAGATTCCTATTCCTAAGAAATGATCAGTCCGTAGAGGACTGACCAGATCTCTGATGTGAGGAAATAATGGCACAGGCTTAGACATGTCTGCTAAGATCATGCTCCCAAGGTATAAAACACAATGCATTTAAATAAACAGAGTTGCAGGATAGGTGAGAAAATACACTACAATTTTGAACATTCTACCACAAGGAAATCACAAATGACTCAGATGCTGGTTCTGCTTAGTGTGCACACATTCCCTAAACTTGAATAACCACACATGTCAAAACTAAATTTTAAGAAGGAAATGAGGCAAATCTGCCTGACAGCTCACAAGGTCCTGTGCTTGGAAAAGCTACCAGACCCTGTGTCTGACACACTCACAAGGTCCCTTGTAATGTTCCCAGAGCAAAAGTCAATGGGTTCTTCTAAGTTAGCAGTATGTCAAACAGAACATATTGTTCAGAGAGTTTTTAATGTGGAAATTATCAATGACAAAATATATAATAACAATGGGTGAGGTGAAGAAAATTACAAATCAGAAGAAAAAGTAAAATTGTATCATCTGGAATAAGATCCGAATATCGGCGGGAGAAGAATCTATTGGCAGTAGATGATCGTTAATAGACAGACCCACAACTGGCCATGGCACTGAAAATTAGGCATAATAGAATGTCCAGCATTAAGTGGGAATCTATACCTCATCCCCTCCTCCCAAAACTCAGAGACCATTGAGGAAGAGGAGGTGGAAAGAATGAAGAGCCAGAGGTGGTGTATGAACACAGGAAAGTCACAGCAGGGTCATGTGACCTGAAAGTAGCTGTGATAGTATGCACATGACCCAAGCAAGCACAAGTCAGACCAAATCTCTGCATGGAATGGGGATGGAAGAACCAAATCCCACCCTTCATTTATTCAATGACACTTGAGCAATTTTCCACCTAAACTAAATTAAGTCCCTAATTCAGTTTATAACAGTAAATTTGATATGAATTAAATATTTAAATATTAAAAGCAAAAAGCAACATAATTTTAGAAAAATAAATAGTTGTGTAGTCCTGGTGTTAAGGAGAACTCTCTCAGAAAAATGTAAACATGGAATTGAAACCTGAATATTTTATTATTCAGTCCTTGCATGTGATGTTGAAAAATACCAAGTATAAACTCAGAAAATGAACTAATAAACAACAGTACAGGACACATGCAACACAGGAAACACGCTGTCCACATTACCTACAGTAGCAGCGAACCTAAAAGAAAGTTCTGTGCCAGGGAAGAGTCACTTGGATAACTATAAACAACTTCCTCACGGGAGAAAAGTCAAAGCATCCCAACACAGAATGCTGGGATATTTCTCATTAGCAGTTACACAAAGAAAATTAAAAGAATGCCAAAATGTTCTATGCTTCTAACATGTTGCCAAACTTGAAATACTATGGTATTAAAACTAATCCAGAATTATATGTGAGTATTTACACATGAGTACAGGTATTGATGGAGGTCAGAAGAAGTTGCTGGTTTCTCAGAGCTTGAGTTACACATAATTGTGAGCTGAGGGCTTGGGTGCTGGGAACAAGCTCTGGTCCTTTAGAAGTGCAGCAAGTGATCCTAACCTCTGCTGCTGCATCTCTTCAGACCTGAAACTACGTATCTTCTGGCTAAGGCCACTGTGGCAGCCTGAGAATTGTTCAGGACCCAGATATGATGATAATCCTGCCTCAACCACTTTGAGCTGCATGAAAATGATAAAACCAGTTAATATCCTTTCATTTCTACACTCCCATTTTCTAATGTAGACATTTATTTCAAATCTTGCTCATTAACATAGATCAAATACTTCTGGAAGTTTATTCCCACAGGGTTGTGGTAAAGATAAAAGGTGAAAGCCTGTTGATCTCTATAAATCACAAAACAGCAGGAGGTATGTATGACAACCCTGAGACTGTTTGGAGAAAGAGCAGAGAACTGTCTTGTTCAGTTTCTCCAGATTCATTTGCTTCTCCTCACATAAACACAGCTCCAATTATAGTGCTGGATTCATCTGCAAGGTAGAATAGCCATTTCCTGACAGGCAGTTTCATAA